GGGAGGGTGCTGTGTTTAGTCAACTGTCCATGGAATCCATTGGGGGCTACGAAATTTATCTTTAACCTCACATTACACAAAAATGAATTCCACAGGGATAGCGCACCTGAAAACAAATACAACTTAATGTGATAGGTAGAATGAAATTTAGGAAAACAAGTTCTTCGTAAAGGGATAGGGCAAGATTTCTTAAAGGTGACGGAATTGCTGATTCCATAAAAGAGATTTTTTCATAGTTGATGTGAATGAAATCTCTGAACTACAGACCAAGTCTAGCTCAAGTGTCATCTGCTCCAGTAGTTCAGGTCAGAATCAGGCCATGACAATGGCAGTAGTGCCTACTGCTTAGGTGCTGTGAGAGCTGGATGGATTAATACCACATAAAGCTTGGAGAACGATAATGCTTGGTCCTGAAAACTACATCAGCATTTAATGCTGACAGATGTTCCTGCGCAGTAGAAAAATGTGTGATTTGCATTAATTTTATTTTTATTTATTTTCAATTTTAAAATACACCCTTCCATTATGTGATAGAGTGAAGGAATAAAACTATTGACAAATTATTCACAAAACTCATCACTTAGAACTGTTCTTCATAGATTCAGAATAGATTGTTTCCACCTCTGTGTGAATGAGGAGTTGTCTTGTCTCACACCTCTGCCCACGTGAGATGAAAGCATAAGCAGAATGTGTTAACAGAAGTATGCTGAATTTCTCGTATTCCTATCAAACTCTTCTGAATCCCTTTTCTTTTTTCTTTTTTTTTTTCCAAATTTTTTACTTCCTTATTTATTTTAGGTTTTGTTGAATTTCTTTCAGGTTCTTGGCTGTGGCTTAGTTAGGTTAAGGTCTCATCTCATTTGATTCCCATTGCTAAATCCCAATAAATGATTCTATACTCCCCAAAAGGGAGATATTTGCTATTAATTTGCCATTCGTCCATCTAGTCACTTTCTTTGCTATTACTGTGATTTATGATACCCTTTAATAAAGGCCAAGGGAAGCTATGACTAGGTTCTATTTTCCATTTATATCAAGATGGGGTGGATTTAGCTTCTCACAGTACAGCAGCTTTCTACAAAAACAACTGATGACAGACTTAACACATTTTCCCTCAGCCCCAATATCCCTAACATTTCTGTTCTCTACCTGCTGCCAGGTAACTCAGCTGCCAATACCCAGCCTTTTGAAGACCAGGCTTGGGAAAAAAAGAAGAGAATGAATGAAGATCCCACTGTTTTTATTTTAGGTTGCATATTCTTGATAAAAGACTAGAAAGAGGATGTAGGATGTAGCGTAGGAAAAAGTTGGAAGAAACAATGAGATTATTAGCAAAGATGTTAGTATGGACCCAGAGAGTACCATTAATTTAAAAATTATAAATATTTGTCATTACACTGACTCCCCATATTTACGTAGAGAAAAGTGTAATAATCTTTTTTAAAAGTTGATTATAGGCCTGGGAATATAGCTCAGCGGCACAAGCACTTGCCTGGTAAGTGCAAGGTCCCGACTTCTATCCCTGGTACCAAAAACAAAACAAAACAAACAAACAAACAAAAAGTTGATTATATAACAAAAGTTTACAGCCATACCACCCTGAATACACCCAATCTCATCTGATTATATAACAAAAATACAATTTTAAGGATATATAATTCTAGTGGGAAGTATTGTTGTATTCCAATTCAATTCAATCTGAAAATTATTTTTATTTTAATAAAAATATAGTGGAAGAAACTCAGAAATGAAAACTTGTACTTTACATTTAAATTACATAATTTTCTCACATTCAAAACTATTATTGAACAGTTCTGTAGGCTTTTAATTAGATATTATCCATGGCTTTTGGTGCCCTGGACAAAGTAGCCACGTAAGTACTTGGTGACTGGAAGAGCTCAGTGAAGATTTAGACCGTATTTTCCTGAGAATCTGCTACGCAGTGGAGGAAACAAGTCCCCAACCCTCATCTTCATTGCTGGACCCAGTGAGAAAAGAAGGCGACGTGTGCCAGCACTGTCCAGCCTGCGTGGTTAGGCAGAACCCAGGGAACAAGGCAACCGGAGGCCAGAGAGCAGGGAGGTCAGGAAGAAGACGCAGTGTTCCCTCGTCCTCCGCCCCGCGCGCTCCTCCCCCCTCCCCTTCTTTAAATAAGAAAACCGAACTGTGAGAAAAATCTGTCAGGGACTAACCATGTGCCACGCAGAAAGGGTATGCTGCATTTTGCTTCCATCTCTCAGAAATTAATTAACCAGTGGCGGCCAGGGGAAAGAGCGCCACAAACAACATCCCAGAACGGCAAAGAGAACGGTGCCTGGTGACTGAAACTGCCCCCTCAGAGGATCAGCCACAAACTGGTCTGGCGATTAGAGGGACAAAGTTGACTGGCACTTTTTTCTTTCTAAAAATTAAGTTTATTAGTACATTTTATGAATACATAATGATTATATTCATCACAGGGAAAATGTACGTGATGTATTTTGATTTTTCTTTTCTTCCCAATCCCTTCTCCTCTCTTTGGCCCATCTTCCTCTCCCTATTTACAAAGCTTTGTTTCCATTTTATCCTTTTATTAAAACATTTTTTCTTTTTCCCTTCTTTCCTCCCCCCACCATAGTTCTTCTTTCCTTTCGAACAATTTCTTCCCATTTCACAATATCTATTGTCATTTGGTCCTAAGGCAGGATTTTAAAAATATTTTTATTTTAAAGAGAGTAGTAAATGAGAAACAAACAAAAAATAGAACAGTAGCAGCACACCAGTATCACAAACGTAAACAAATCAAAGCAAGAACATTTAAAGTGATACAGGGTTTCAGGACAAAATAATGTGAATTAACAGTGGTTCTACTACATATTGCTATCCTCAACTACTTTGTTCAGATTACCAGAAATAAGAATGAAAGACTGCTCAAACCATTAAAGAGAATAAAAAAATAATTATTAGATAAAACATTAGAGATAATACAGAGTTTCACTAGACAGGATGGCAGGAATTCACCATTGTAATTCCATTGCATGTTGTTACCTTCAAATCAGTTGCTCAGATCACCAGACATAAGCATGCACAATTGATCCTGCCATAAAAAATTGTGAGCATTAACTGTTCATTTCAATACACCATCAGACATCAGCAATACAGTTATCACGGCAATACATATATTATATATTTATGTTTAAGGCAAGATATTTTTATAAACATATGGATTGCTCTCATGGGCTATAATAACACTTGTGCAAAGGTAGGGTAGTGACCCAGTGGAAGGACATTACTTCAAGAATGTGTGAATATCCTAGGTTCCCTTATTAGTCCATGATGAAGAATCATATATTCATTTGTGCAATTTGTATTATGGGAAACTAGCAAGACAGCATAATTAGTTTCTTAATATTTCATCCTTCAGGCAACTTTTATAATTTTAAAGCTAAAAGAAATCTCATTCATCTTCAATTGCCTCATGTTACAGATGAGCCAACTAATAAAACAAATAGTTAAGAAGCTTGTCTAGCTGGGCGTGGTGGCACAAACCTGTAATCCCAGCACTCGGGAGGCAGGAGGATCGTTGTGAGTTCGAGGCCAGCCTGGGCTACAAAGTGAGCTCA